ATGACGGAGAACATGAGCATAGCTACTACTCGTTCCCAGCCAACGCCTTCCCTGTCCTCCTCCCCAAATCTGCTCCACCAAATCCGCTCCACACTTGTCTCTTCTTAGATACCCTTATGTCTGAGACACAACTCTAATCTTATCCCATAATCCAGTCATTCAGTAAGTATTTACCGAGTGACTCTACACAACGCAATAGTCTAGACAGTGAACAACACAATTGCAAATCCTTGCCTTAATGGAACTTAGCTTCTACTGAGTCCAGCCCTGGTGGCCACAGGTCTGCTGAGGCTGTCTTTCCTCGTCCCCTGCTGGACTGGGCCACGAGACAGAGCTCCTGAGACAAACACAAAACTGCCTCCCCTGGGTCTCCCTTACCTGCCTGGCCCGGCCCAGCCATGATGCTCCCCAAACACTCTACTATCTTCTACTGCCAGGCCTTTGCACTAGCTACCCCTCGACCCTAAACACTCCTTTTTTTCTTCTTCTTCCTTCTTATTCATTCTTCCTCCCTTGGATCTCAGCTTGGATTTTTTCCCTCTAGGAAGCCTCGGGGCCCGACGGTAGGGTCAAGACCTACTCTCTGTGCTGCTGGGGAATTCTATGACTACCTCTATGATAGTACCGATCACATTGTATTATAATTGCCTGTCTCCTTATCCCGTTTCCCTTTAACACAAGGAGTTCCTGGAAAGCTAGGCCTATGTCCGTTTATCACTATGCATCCCAAATGTGCAAAACATGGTTGCTAAGTAAACGAATGAGCAAATCAAGGTAGGACAAGGTGAGGAAAGGCTGGGCAGGCATGGCTGGGTGCCAGGTGCCTGCCACACTCTTGCCCCAACCTCTCTCACACCCACCTGCCTCATGAGCTCAGGGTTGTTGAGCATGTGGCTGATCTCAGGGTTCCGCTCCATCAGCTGCTGCATCTGGGGGTTGGCCATGATCATGTGGCGCATCAGGTCAGGGTTAGACATCATGTCTTGGACCAGTGGGTTCTCCATGATCTGCGAGAGCATCTCGGGATTGGACATCAGCTGCCTCTGCATCTGTTGCTGTAGCTCCATGAAGTTGGCGGAGCCCAGACCCAGGCTGCCCAGGCCTAGGATGCCCCCAAAGCCAGCTGCGGGGAGGGGGCAGAGTCACAGTCTGCCCGCAGGGGCCCTTCCCCACCTGGTCAGAGCCATTGAGTCCAGGTCTCCAGGATGGGCCCCTGTTCCAGTCATTCCCGCAGCCCCAGCCCTGATCCAGGGCTGGCAGAGATGTCAGCCTGCTGGACTGAGCCCTCTTTGGTGGCAGAAGCTGGGAGCAGGGTACAGTCCCGAGCAGACAGGGCAACCACTGACGGCCTGTTGAATGGGTAAATCAATATTCCCTACTTGGCCTCTTTTGTCCTCACTCAAGGTTCCCCATATCTCCAGCCCCATCTCTCCCCTCACTCTAACGTTTGCCCATGCTCCCCTTATCTAGGAAGCCCTGATCTGGGTCCTCTATCCCCATCAGACCATGAGTGGGAACCATGTTTCTCCCTTCTCTTGGCTCTCCACCAATCCCCAGTCCCAAACAGGACAGTGCCCTTCTCCCTAAAGGCTTACAGAGTATGGATGTCGTAGCATTGGGAGGGCCCTCCCCAGCCCCTGGAGAGGGACCCCCCCCACTGCTCCTCCGGCTTCCACTGCCAGCATCCGAAGTGGTGCTGCCAGAGGTGGAGGGCTGGACAGGGGTGGCAGGTGAAGCAGGCGTGGTGGAGGGTGCCGAGGCAGGGTCTGGAGTGGAGGGGGAAGAAGCAGTGGCAGCAGCCGGATCTTGAGCCCTGAGGACAGAGAAAGAATATCCTAGTATATGTGAACTCAAGAGGGGAGATAACCATCTCTGTGTTTGCTGTGAAGCTACTGCCCCAACCCAGGCCACATCTTAAGCAACACTGAAGCTGGGGTGGGATGATGCTGGGGGTAGTCAGAAAATCAGACAGAGGGAAGGAGGAGCTAGTATCATCTGTCCTCAGGGCATTCTGGGAGATGTACGTCAGGATCCCTTCCCCTGCAGGTGAGGATGATAAGCCTGCTCGGCAACCCATCCAAGGGCCACCTTCCTGGGCTTTGGCATAAGCCCTCTAGGCACAGCTGAGTGACGGGTTAGAAACTATCAGATGGGGAAAAGTGGTCCAATCGGAAGCTGGACCTGCTCCTCTCCTAAACTTACTTCTGAGGGGTCTTGATGACCAGATGGACAGTGAGCCCATCTTTGATCCCATGCTGGTTCAGTGTGTCCCCATCCTTGAGGATCTTGCCTGCGAAGATCAGGACCAGCTGATCCTGCTGAGCCTTAAACCTCCGGGAGATTTCCTCTTTGAACTGTGATCAAGAGGCAGAGGTCACTGCAAAGGTTGCCTGGACTCCATCCACCACGGGCCCTTCTTCAAGAGCCTGGGCATTCTTTGCTCCCATCTCTAGTTGTGGAAAGTCTTTTCTGCAGTCTCGACTCCATCCCTCCAGCTGCAATTAAGCAGCTCCTTTCTTAATCAAGGAGATGGACACGTGAGAGGCTGTTCCTTCAATTCTCCTCCAGGGTCTCCCACCCCAGGAAGCCCTTGCTGCTATCTGTCCCTCCCTCTTCAGTCCCTCTGCCCAGTTCCCTGAGGGGGCCCTGCCTGGGCAGCACTCTCCACCTCAGTTCCTAGAACAGCCTTGGACCCAGGCCCTGTCTCCCTCAGCCTCCTCTTCTCCGACCCCAAGTTTCTCTCCCCTCTTTATCCCCAGTCTGCTTGTAACAACTACAACACAGAGATCCCAGTTATTTATAATTGCACAAATTATTGATGAGTTAATAATCTAAGCCTCATGAAATACACATTAATTATTATTTCCATTTTAAAGATGAGGAAAAAAAAGGATCAGAGGGGTTAGGCAACTCGCCATGGTAGACTGGACTCACACTCCGAAGGCCAGGCTCTTAACCAAAACATTGCCTCTCAATTGGAACTGATTTAAATTTCCCTACTTTGCAGGGAAATTGATTTAAATTCTGGATGTAATCATTTAATAAGATTGGGGGGCGGGCAGTGATGATACTAAAGTCTGACTTGAGAAATTAGACTGCCAAATCTATCACCCCTCCCCAAATCAAACCAAACCAAACAAACACTCTAAGTAAAAATAGTGCACTTGCTAAGCAAAGGCAGCTTCCAGATTCTCCCTTCCAACCAGAAGGCCTATCTTAAGCCCCGCCTTTGTGAAATTCTGGAGCAGCCACAGCGGGGTGGCGAACATAGGAAATATTCCCTCATTCAATATGATTTTTACTGAACATCTGCACACTGTGTAAATCCCAGAGGAGCTGAGAACCAAACGGAACCGCCTGGACTTGAAAGCAGGACCTGGGCAGAGAGAAATCCTCTCCATAACGCCCGGAGGCAGAGCAAGCTGGGCGCTCACCCAGGTGCACCGTAGGCGTCGGGAGCTCTCCGCTGCGCCCCCCGCCCGCTCTCCGAGCTCAATACCTTGCCCGGCCCCCACTCAGCCTCCACGCCTCGAACCCCGACTAGTAACCGGGGCGCACACTCCCCTCAAATCCAGAGTCCTTCCCCCTTCCCTGCGCAAAGTGGCCCCACCCCACTCTCCACCACGCCCCCAGTCCAGGCCACAAGGCAAACCCCGGCCTCCTTTCCCCAACACGCGCCAAAGCTCCCCCAGATTACACTCGCAGAACGCCCCCTACCCGCCTTTCCTTCCTTCCCGCTCCTCCGAGTGCCAGCTGGGCCCCCACTCTCCTCTCCCAGGCCCTCCGGTACGCCCGACCGTCCAGAACCACCCTCTCTCTTCGCGGACCCCTCCTCCTACCCGCCCACCCCCCACCGAACTACCTCCTTAACCGAGGCTCGATCGCAGATCACAATTTCCTCCTTGTCTTTGGGGGTCTTGACGGTGACCCGAATTGGGGGCCTCGCCTCGGCCCCGTTCGGCTCCGCCATGCCGCCACCACCACCCGGCCGCCCGCCAGCCCGCCCCAGCTCCTCCTCCTCCCCGCCCGCCCGGCTGACCCCACTCGGCTCGGGTGCCTCCAGCACGCTCCTCTCCCCTCCCCTCCCCTTCCCAAGATTTCGCCACCCTCTTTGAACCATCCGCAGCCACAGCGCCCCGGGCGGACTGGGGGGGCCACTGCAACGGAATCCGCCCAGGGCTGAGCCCCAGGTCCAGCAGGGGCAACAGAACCTCTCAGGGTGACGGCCCCTGGGGGTACTCGGGGCAGGGGCGGTGTGGCACTCACATGTGGGGTGGGGGCGAGCTCCCCGCAGGAGACCAGGGCCCACCCGAGAGGGCCCGAGCGGAGCCGAGGTCCCCTCCCGCCCAAAGCTGCCCCTGCCCCCTCTCCAGGTCATTCCCGCTGCAGGACAAAGGACTCTCTGTGTCGCCGCTTTCACTCCGTTCCCTGAGATAGCTGGTCCAAATCCTTTCCAGGCCTGGGGCCTCTGCTAACTTGGAGGTTGAATTTTCCCACTTCTGGACGTCCACCTAACATTTCATCTCTAGGATTGACTTCACTCCCCCGAGGGCTGTATCCTGAATGAACTCTGTGAAGTATGGTTCCAGAGCCCTGGGTTTTGCCTGAGTGGCCTTCCCAAGCCTTGATTTCCTCAACAGCATCTATCCCATCACACAGAATTGCGCACGATGTAGAAAATTGCTTTGAAAATAATCAAAAGGGGTGTCTAACAAATACAGGATTTTTTTTTAAATCACTGAATTGTGGATTGTTAAGAGGACATGATAACTTTTCCCTCTCCGAAAAAATTGAATGTTCTTCCAGTCCTTTTATTCCGCTCTCCGAGCCACCCCGCCACAACTGCTTGGTCTGGGTGGAAAGGCAAACTATAGTTCCCAGGTGCCTCGCGAGGCCTCAAGGAACTACAATTCCCAGCGGCCCCCCCCATGTGGGGCGGGGTTGAGTCAGAACCACAAAGCCAGGCCGGGGAAACTACAACTCCCAGAAAGCTCCGGAGCTGGGCAGTACCGGAAGCTGCAGGCGGAGCTGGGCAGGAGAGAGGTATAGGGTCTGCGTGGAAAAGCCCCGGGTTAGGAACCGCAGGCATGCTGCGTCCCAAGGCTTTGACCCAGGTGCTAAGCCAGGCCAACACTGGAGGTGTCCAGAGCACCTTGTGAGTTCGGACCGAGGACCCGAGCGGCGAGCACAGGAGTGGGGCAGCGCGCGACTCTCTGAGGGAGGGGTGGGGAAGGATGTCTGGGAAGGGAGGGGGCAGCCACTGGGGCTATCGGCGTGGAGGGCGCCTCTGGAAAAGGGAAGTTGACTAACTGGTTGCTCGGGTCCCGTTCCAGGACACCCTCAACCCAGACCCTTGCTTTCTAGAAGCGTCAGTGGTGGATCTGTGTTGGGAACCCAAGCCTTTTACTCCCTATGCTGAGCACGTCACTATCCCTCCCTGTCCCTCGCCAGGCTGCTGAATAACGAGGGATCTCTGCTGGCCTACTCTGGTTACGGGGATACCGACGCCCGGGTCACCGCAGCCATCGCCAGTAACATCTGGGCCGCTTACGACCGAAACGGGAACCAAGCGTTTAATGAAGACAATCTCAAATTCATCCTAATGGACTGCATGGTATGGAGAGAGGAGCCACTTCCTCTGTCCCCAAAGGGGATCCCCAGGGGATGAACTGTACCCCGTCCTGGATGGTTGGGATCTGTGGAAGATTGCTAAGAGTTGGCCCCCAGCTGCATTTATAATAGGCAGGACCTTGTGCATCAAGTGGTGGTGGGGAAGCAGCACCGGACCCAGTATCTGTCTGGGGTTCTGGTCTCAGCCAGCCACTTACCATCTGTGGAAACTTGCCTAAGTCATTTAACCTCTCTGAGCTTTCTTACCGGAGCTCTAAGGCGGAAACAATACCCCCTCCCCACCTCACAGTGTCTTGTGAAGATAAATGGAAAGGAGAATAGAAAGTGTAGAGTGGCCTGCGCACAGAGTATTGGCATCCCAGATTCACTGACTTACAGAACCATGACAGTCTGCAGATCCTTCCCTAATTCCTTCATTTGACAGAGAAAGGAGATTAGGTCCAGCAAGGGGAAGTGACCATTAGGTTGGAGACTTCCTGGGAACAGAAACTGAAAATCACCTTTGTTCATTCAACATACAGGTCTCTGCAGTATTCTCAGGGCTGGGGGGGGCGGGTGAGGGGGGGAATGCAATAGCAAACAGAACAGACAGAAACTGCAGACCTAATGAAGTTTACAGCTTACATGTTTTAAAATAAATAAGATGTGTATGTTTTATTAACTAAGTTTGCAAATATGTTTTGTACAACATGTAAGTGTAAAACAGTACATTAGGTGTTAAAAACACTGTGGAGAACAGTGAAGTAATGAAGTGAGAAAGAGGGGAGCATGTTCCAGAGAAGTCTCACTGGAAAGTTGATATTTCATCACAGACTTGAAGAAAGTTGGCAAGCTGTGTGGCCATCTAGAGCAGCACGTGCAAAGGCCCTGAAGCCAGAGGGAGCCTGGTCCATGACCCACAAGGTCGTTGTGGGGGAGGGAGTGACATGAGAACGGGACAGGTTATTGGGAGATGAGTCTGCAGAGGCAGGGGTCAGCGCCAGCCTCCTGGCACGCACTGGATGCCTGGTGCAAGTTTCCTGAGCCAAACTGAAAAGGCCCCAGGAGTGAAGGATTTCCACTGTAACTCGGCTGCCTGCCACTTTCCCACCCCCTGCCCAACCAAGGGTGCATTTCAGTTCAACTAATGACTCCTACTAGGAACCTAGCCTAGCGCTGATGCTGTGGGACAGTAGTTTTCAAACGTCTGACCACAACCCAGCCGCGGGAGGTGTTTTTTAAGTCAGAGCCCAGGATACACACATGCCCGCAGAAGCGAGTTTTGTGAGACAGTACTAACCCTAGGACATGCGATGCACTTCATTTCTTTATTTTTTCTTTTAATATTGATCAATCTTCCTAACTGATCTAATCCTGGGGTCAAACCTGCAGTTTGAAAAATATTACCATGGGGAAAGAAATATAAGTTGGGTTACTGCTCTCAAGTCCTTTACAGTGTCTTTGGGGTGAATCCATAATAACATCACCCATTAGGATAGCCCTTTGAAGATGCAAAACTCTTTCCTGTGTCCTAACACCCTAACCAACTGAGGTGTTTCTGGGAGGTTGAGTTTCTCAGGGTAACTTGGTGAGCAGGCAGCTGTGCTAAGGCTGCAATTGGGGCATAGGATCCCATGGCCGGGGCTGTTGCCATAGCCCCAGCCCCCCACCCCCAGGTGAAGTTCCTGCCATGCCCAGGGCATGGAAGGAAGATATAGTCTCTCTCAAGAGGATCCCTTGAAGAAAGAGGGGCTAAGGGCACCAAGCAGAACATCCCATCCCATGATATCACCCCTCCAGGAGGGCCGTGTAGCCATCACTCGAGTGGCCAACCTTCTGCTGTGTATGTATGCCAAGGAGACTGTTGGCTTCGGAATGCTCAAGGCAAAGGTGTGTATGTGCCCGTCCCTCTACAACGCTAGGCCCAGCCTTTGTTCTTCCTCACTGTGTCCTCTCCCATCCCCACCACCTTCCTGGAGTCCTTCTGTCAGTCCACTTCTGGTGGGGCCAGGGGCTGGGTGCTCAGCATTGGGAGTTGACCTGGATTTGGGCTCCCTCTCATGGCACGCCATGCAAGGGCAGTGTGGCACTGATTTCTCCTCCCTCTCGCAGGCCCAGGCCTTGGTGCAGTACCTGGAGGAGCCCCTCACCCAAGTAGCAGCATCATAATGGGCGTTGGTGGAAGTAGGGGGTCAGACCAGAGAGGCGACCATTTGGAGGGGCAAGACCCCCTGAGGAAACCTTCCTGGACTATGGGGGAGGGTGGGACTTTGTTCATTTCCAAGAATAAATTTCATTTCTGTCTTACGTTTTGGCTGCTTTCTTGGCTGGGAGGAATCAGGAGACGGGGAGGAGCAGGCTTGGCTTGCAGGGTTCCTCATGTCCTGCAGGGGCGGCTCCCACCTGCCTCTCCACCGGGACCTCCAGCAGCCAAAGGGCTCTGGGCAGTGGCGCCTGAGCTCCCTTGGCCTCTCCAGTGGTGTGGCCTCACTTGGCCCCTACCACTCAGAACAGAATTTTACTTGCCTGGCTGGCAAAACCCTAGAAGTAAGCTCCAAGGAGCAGGGGGCTAGCGGGGGTGATGTTGGACAAAAATAATGTGGGGCCTGGGAGTTCATTGTCCTTCAGTCCCGACTGGTACGGTGCCTTTTCTACTGTTTGGGCTAGGAGGGACCACCCCTTTCTCTTCTCCCAGGTACTCACACGCTTACCCAGACACCAGATTCTAAAGCCCTTTGCCGGCAGGATGGCTTTGCTGTGGGGCCTCAGGTCCTGGGCGGTGATCCGAAGAAACCCAGGAGACCTGCCGGAAGCCTTCATCTCCAGGTCCTGCCCCTACACTCAGACCCCTCACCCTGTCTGGCTGGTTCTGCCCCAGCTCTCCACCTACCCAGCGACCTGAAGAGCAGGTCTGAGCAGGGAGCTACCAGCCCCTTGCCCAGTGTGGTAGGAAGGGACCCATCCTAGGAAGTAGGTAGGTTGCAAGTACCAGCTCCACCCAGGGTAAGAGATGCTGACCCTGCCCGGCCCTGGGCAGTCAGGGAGGGGTAGAAGTTGCTGTACCCAAGATACAACTCCTAGAGCTCTGCATCGCTGCAGGGTGACTGCCATCCTGTCGGCCCTTCCTCGGGTTCCCCGGTCACCCCCAACCAGAGGCTCTAAAGGAAAAGCAGAAGGCCAAGTAGATTTCTGGTCCCTGGGGGATTGATTCTCACTGGCAGCGGGCCTCTCAGCCGGAGCCTCCGGAGCCTAGCAAAATGTACTCAGTCCTCGGCCGGCTCTCTGAAGGCCCTGTCCCTGCCTCCCCAACTGTCACCCTCTGGAGTCTGCTCGCCTGTTGTAGGAGCCCAAGCTGAGAGCAGACACCCAACCTGTCTAACCTGTCTGACGTCATTGTCTCCACCCACCTGGGCCCCAGGTCTCTAGCTGCCCCGCTCTTCCTGTTCCGTCCTCGGCTTCCTTACAACACCCCCACCTGCCAGAGCTGAGCCTCCCCAGGCCTTGCCTAACCTTAAGTGAGCCCTCAGTTCCTCTGGTTGCAGACGTTTCTTTATCCCCAATGAGAGAAGGGGTGGATCCAGGTCTCTTAAGAGCTGGGAGTTGAGGGCACTGAGCCAACGCACAGACCCGGCACCTCTGTCTCCGAAGACACTAGTACCCTCCATGTGGAGCCAAGATGGGGAACGGAACTGAGGAGGATTATAACTTTGTCTTCAAGGGTAAGTTGGAGTTCATACAGAAAGAGGGAGCCTGGCACAGACCCAGAAAGAGACCCACGGAGCCAGCCCTCCTGCCTTGTTGTTTCTCTCACCAGGACCCCCCAGGGCTCGACGTTCCTTTGTATAAGAAAGAAAGCTGCAAGGATGGGGGAGGGTCTGGTTACTGGAGCGAAAGCCAGAAGGCTCTAGGCTGTAAACAATGGGGTTGCTTGCTCTCTCTAATAGCGCCGAGTTAGGCTCCTGTGCCCTGCTCCTAACGGAAGGCCAAATCCCTAGGAATAGTGAGCTGCAGCAGCAAGAGAGATAGAGGTCAGACTTCCAAGAGGGCTTCCCTGCTGGGAGGAGGGGGAAACAGGCAGACTTAAGAGGAAGCAAAGCGTCTTTCTGGGCAGGTGCACAGAAAAGGAAAGAGGAGAGGTCTGTGCTGTCCTCGGGCTGGGTGAAGACTTCAGGAAGACATAACGAGTTGGGAGCAGGGTCTGTTGGGGCTCAGAGGACTCCTGGGGCCAGGCCTTCTGCCTGTCCCTGGCCAGGCAGATCCCTTGGGCCTGAATACCAGGCACTGGGTTCAACTTGGCTGTCCCTGGAAGTGTGCACATATCTTTCTGCTCTTTATTCTAAACCCCTGTGTTTGGCCCCCTTATTGTTCCCCACCCCCACACCACCCTCACCTCCACACCTCCTTCAGGGCAGGTTGGACTGGCAGAGCTCTGACTCCCTGTCCAGCCACCCCACCCTACCGCCTCTCCCAGCCTGAGCCCCGCCCTCACTTGGAACTCAGGCGACCAGGTTTTGGGGAACCTGTATTCTCAACATCTTTCCCAGGAAGAGGAGACTGGGTTAAGAGCTAGCAATAGTCTGGGGCAATAATACTACGAGTGACTATCATTTATTGAGCTCATACTATGTGCCAGCCACTGGCTTATTAATCACCATAACAACCCCAGAAAGTTACCTTTCGTTTTGAAAGGAGCCAGGAGCCAGACAGAGTTCAGATCTCAGCCCTGCCACTTACTCTTTGTTGCAGGTTGGGATCTCCAGAAGCAGACCCTCAGAAGTTTGGGGTGCAAGATGTTTATTACGAATCAACACCAGTGAAAGGAAGGGGGAGGAAACAGGATTGGGCAGAGAGGAAGTTAAACTTCAAGGCAGGATCACCAAGCCCTGGCCAGAGGCTGGGAGCTCTGTGATACGCTCTCCTTGCTCAGGTAGTGGATGCAGACTGCCCGGGGGAGGCGTGACCACAGGTGAGGCCGCCCTCTGCACGAGGCAGATGCTGAAGGAGCCATAGCTGGAAGCTGTCTGCTGACTGCACTCCCTGAGTCTGGGGCGAGTTCTTTCTGGAAGGCCCCCTGGGCAGCACACCTGTGTTTACCACACTGGCTGTGTTCTCTTTCTCAAGGTATTTAACCCCCTAAGTGCCTCCTTTCTTCATCTTTAAAAGTGCGATGATGATAATGGCACATGCCTTATGGCACTTTTGTGAGGATTGAGTGAACATGTGTAAAGGTTTTAGGACAGTGCTGGGCACGTTGCAGGCACTCCATGAACTTTAGCAATTAGTATCTCCATTTCTCAGTGAGGATGAGAAACAAAGTGGCGTACAAAATGTAACAATGTCAGCACAAACCTTAGTCTGTCTGACTCCAAAGCCCTTGCCCGGAGCGCCTCTGAGGCCTGAGGGTCGGGCTGGGCGCCCATGTGCTGGGCGCATGGAGTGCAGATTGGGTCCCCAGCAGGGGCGTGGCAGGGACACACATGTCCTCTCCCCGCACACACCCACGCTGCTCCCAGATCTTTCCTACCCTCTACAAGTAAGGAATCTTTAAAGATGGGGGGAGTGTTTTTTTAGATTTCACAAATAAAGAAATTGAGATTCAGGAAAGGTCAGCCACTTGTTCGAGATCACGTAGCCAGTCAGAGGCCAGGTGGGGACCAGGGCCCCAGAGCAGGCAGCTCACAGCCCTTGGGCACCGGCCCGCCTCCCTGAACCACTGTGGGCGGCCTCCTCTGGTCCTGGGCGTTTAGCTCAGCGCCTCTGCGGTTTGTGAGTCTTATTTACATCAGCCTCCCACACTCTGCCCAGCCCCTGGCTGCTCACCCACGCTGGGTGAGGTGGGGCCCGAGACTCAGCGCTCCAGCTCCGAGGCTCTGCAGGGCCCTTCTGGTGGCCCCTGGCCCCTGAAAACCTGGAAGGTAAAGCGCTGGACTATCAACAACAGGCATGAGAGGAACAGTCCTGCACACAGACTCTATCCTGAGCACTATCTCATTTACTTCTAACAATAACCCATAAGGCAGGTACTATTGTTACTCCCATTTTTTTTGTATAAAAAAGAAGGTCTGAGAGGCTAACAACTTGCTGAAGGACACACACAGGGGCCCAACGCCCGGCCCATGCAAGAATGACCCTCTTTGGGGACAAATGGATCGAGTCTTCGTACACACACACCCGTACCGCCCCTCCCCCCGGATGTGCCGTTGCCACACTTTCTCCTCACCCACACTTACACTCACACCTCTGCTCCCATGCAGACACACCCACCACCCCTCCCACTTGTCCTCCCAATTCACATGCACAGTGACACGCACAAGTGCTCACACTTCCCACTCTGGGGAAGTGCACCCTCCCCCAGGCCTCCTACCGTCTCTGTCCGCATTCACAGCCCGCCAGCCTCTCCCTGTAGTCCCTGAGCACCAACACCCACAAGCAGGCCAGGGACGTCACCCATCGCCAGATCTGCAGGCTAACTCTACAGGCCTGTCTCATCAGACCAAGAAGCCCCTTAGCTGGGTGCAGCTTTTGGCCCTTCTGCCTCGAATGGACATGACATGTGGAGCTGCAGACCCGTCTCTGCCATGAGCCTGGGCTCCCTCCTCAGTTTTCTGAGCTCAGCTCCCCTTTGCTAATGGGCAAACCCTACAGGCTCAGGTGGACATGGGGCTGCTGTGCCCTGCTCAGCCCTTATCTCTCCATACCTCCAGTGGTGCTGATCGGAGAGTCAGGCGTGGGGAAGACCAATCTGCTGTCCCGATTCACACGCAATGAGTTCAGCCACGACAGCCGCACCACGATCGGGGTTGAGTTCTCCACCCGCACTGTCATGCTGGGCACTGCTGCTGTCAAGGCTCAGATCTGGGACACGGCCGGCCTGGAGCGATACCGAGCCATCACCTCAGCGTGAGCCCGGGGCTGGGGGTTGCTGCGGTGTGGGGGTGCTGGGGAAGCCAGGGAAAACTGCTGGAGGGGAGAAGGAGGACGGGGCGGAGGCAGGGTCACTCAGCAGTGTGCTCCCCAGTGGGATCACAGGACACCATGGCCAGGTTGAGGAGACACAAGTACTGGGAGCCACAGAGACAGGAAGGACGTAGTGACACTGACTGGTAAGACTAAAGCCACAAGTCACTGCCACCACTGCTGGTGCCTCTGCTGTGTGCCCAGGAAGGTACAGGCGCCTCGCATTAGGCACTTTATGCAATCCCCAAGGCCCGTGGTACCCCAGGGCCATGGTGCTGTCCTTAATCCCTGTTGGACACAAGCTGGAGGCCTAAGCGAGTGAAGCCCAGCTGGAGCTGGGGTGGCAGCAG